AAAAACTTTTGAGCAGACACAATGAAGGTAAATAATTTGCCTCAGGGGGTAAATGGAACGATTTCTATTGTTTTTGTTGCTTTGGAAGGGAAGTCGAGTAGCCAGCCTCTCAATTGCTTGTAATTTTAATTACACCTGCAAGTTGATTTTTATTTTTTATTTTTGTTGATTTAAAGCACCCAAAGTTGGATTGCAAACAATGCGACCCGGTTTTTTCGCTTACGTTTTCGTTGTGGAGGAAGACTTAATTTATTCGTATGTATGTATCAATGTGTACTTGTATATATATACTATCTATATGTGTGTTTGTATGTATGTCAATATTCTGAGTTAATTAAAATACGGAATTCAGCTGCAGCTCAATTACTAGAGTCCGACCGATTAATCGGCATCGGCATCGGCTGGTATCGGCACAAAATTGAGCATCGGCATTTTTCGCCGATTATTTGGAATTTCTTCCAACATCAAATAACATTTTCAGACAGTTCACAAAAATTATTATTTTTTGGTTGAAGGTATTTCACGTTTTTTCCTTACAAAAGTATGTTCGAAAATTTTCTTTTATATGGGGGACACTGCCAGCAAAAAAAATATTGCCAAAAATTAATGGGATTTTATAGCAGCTTAAAACTTGCGCTTCATTATGCTAGAATAAAATGGTCTACAAAACTGCATACCAAAATTCTGATTCGGAAAATAAAAATAATGGGGCGTATTCTTGTTGTAGTACGCATCGAAAATCATGAAATTTTCCTATCATTTTGTATTCAAAACTTTCAAATTTTCGATTCGTACGAAAACCAGAATACGCCTCAATAAAAAAATAAAAAATATTCCGACGAACTGGGCGAGAATCATTTCACCAAAAAGAAATCGCAAATTTAACTCAGTGATTTTTTTTTGTTTCTTTGCATTAATTTCTTTGATTAACAATCGCATTCGAGATCATTCATAAATGAATAAAAAGGAGAGCTAAAGGATGAAAGTAAGCCCGAACAATTGACTAAAGAACACAATGAAGCTGAACGGCCATGCAGTGTGTTAAACCGGACGGAACAAAAAATTGCAATTCGATTGAAAAGTAAGAACTCTTAGCAACCAAGAATGATAAAAAAATGTGTGAGTATGTATGTACGTATGTATGCAATAGTCGAGTGACACTTGTGCTAGTAACCGATTTTGGAATAGAAACTATTGAAGGACTTGCCATTGAAGTGGCCGAGTGGTCGAGTGTAAGTTTGCAAAAAAAAAAAAAAAACAACCAACAAGAAAAACAAGCGATTAAACTGAATTGACTGCTTTCGAGGTGAGAAAAAACGATTCACTGCCAACTAAAGTGCATAACGGTTAGTGCGCACACATACGCATACATGTCTAACTACACATATATATGTATATATATATATGTAAAAGTATGAACAGTGATTGTTGATAGTAATGGTACTCAAACAAGAAGGATGGTGCTGAGTGATTCTACTTTTACTCAGGAGGCAATTGTGGACGAATTTAGTTCAATAGTGATTGTCCGAATATATGTATATAATGCTACTTGTAGAGGCAAGAACATACATCCATGTGCGTTCATACTATGTAAGTGCTAAAAAAAAATGTGAAGGCTAGAAATACAAGTAATCGCATGTTAAAAAATAGTGTCCGGTTTAGCGCCATTCAATTATAACTTTAGACATATTTTAGACATACATAAGTATTTATTTTACTGTGAAAAAAGTAAACTTCGATAGAATTGCAATAAAAATAATTATCTTAAAAGAATCTAAACAATAAATGCGACGCATTGTTTGTATATGCATTGTTCACGTGGTCTAAAGTTATTCGGTGCCATACATTAGAAAACAAAGAAAATTCCGACGAATTGATAACCTCCGGTTTTTCGAAGTTGGTTAGAAACAACAACAGTACACTAGCGCTATATTTTGTCAGCCATAGATGGGCAAAGCACACGTGGTTTCTACGTTGATAATAGAAAAAAATTGAAGACCAACTAGTTGAGCAGAAAAGCACACTGCTAACATTTTAGTTCACAACGCGTAGTTTTCCCAGCAGGGTAAGTATCAGCGTATATGCTACATACATATGTGTGTACATATGTACGTATGCATGTGTGTGTGTGTACATATATTTAAAACGAGATTTCTTATAAAATTTCAAAAATTCTTTTGAATGCAAAATACAATATTTCGCCAAATTTAATTCCAGTTCGCTAGTTACACACTCCTAAAGCCATGAGAATGTAACGAGTTATGTATGTAAATATGTATGTATGTACATATATGTATGTATATCAAAACACTTTCAAAAGTCAGACTACTGCGCAGACAACAAACAACGACAGCTGGAAAAGTGGAAAAAGTAAGGATTTTCACGGCAATGTTGCTGAAGCTGAGTGCCGCTGCATAGAAAAGTAAAGGTGGTAGCGTAAGCCCAACTAGCAGTGAAATTTGTACAAGTATGCAAAGTCGGACAAAGGAGAGAAATGACAAAAAAAAAAAAAAAAAAAAAAAAAAAAAAA